AATATTAATGTTGTAAACCAAATTATAATAATCCCAAAAATATAATGAAATCCTCCCCACTTCTAAATTAAAGCTTGGGACAAAATGATGAGCTCAAATGATAGTGTACCTCAACTCCAGGCCAAAATATTTAAGATAAAAAATTTTAAACTTAAACAGAAAATGACTATAATTGGATATAATCTACATCAATGTCAACACTAATGTTTTATTTATTATATAAATAAGCTTTAATTTCCAAAGGCTCATTTATACCATAGCTTTTATTTTACTTTTTAAATGTATCTTTATTGTTGGAAGTATTACAGAGGTTCCCCCCTTTTCCCCCACTTACCCTTTCTCCCCTCCACCTCCTCCCTGCCCCCTCCCTCAAGGTCTTTACACTGTTATCTATGTCCAGGAGTTATGCATATACCCATATAAGTTCTTTGGTAAATCTCTCCCCACCCACCCTTCCATCCCTTAATCTTGTAGATTTTAGGGAAGGATCATGCAGGGTGGTGCATGTAGGGTGAAAGTTTGATGCTATTTACCAAGATGAAGAATAATGGAAAGGTAATTGGACTGTTTTTGTGTTTGTCAATGTGTGTATGAAGAAGCTTTGCTCCCTCAGGTCAAGAATATAGAACCTTCTCTTCATGTAGATTTAACTGCTTTATAAACAAACAAATAATTTTCTTTTTGGAATCAACGAAGATTTTTTGAATGTATGCTTTGAGTGATATGTCTTAAAGACACTACATTGAACAACTTAAGCAAGTCCAAAAAAGGTGAAACCCTAACATGTGATAAGGATTTATTTATGATATAGACTCTTCTTGAGAAAAATAAACATTTCTTGTGCCATTGATATTTATGATTCTCACAAACATCCTAATTATCAAACTGTATCCCTGCAAGACAACCAATGGGAGGAGAGCTTTACAGAAAATTGAAGAAGGGTTCAATGGGGGGAAAACAGGTCATATGTAAAACTTTTAACAATAAAGATTTAAAAAAAAAAAGAAAATTGAGGGAAAGCACAGCAGGGCTTTTTGCTGCACAGGAGCCTTTCCAAGGTCAAACAGCCAGAACGGACTCTCAATAATTGAATTTTCCATTCAGTTCATAAGCATGACACTCGGGGGCTTTTAACATCAAAGCATTACCCAGTTGCAGAAAATAACTGTTCAAACAACAAACGAGGTCAGAAGGATCATCAGATTTATTGCCAATGTGGAAGAAGACACAGGATTTTCAGAGATGCCTTAATTAATAAAAAGGAAGGTAATTCTTTGAAAGCCCAGCGGAGGACAGTAATTCGCCAATAAGCTTGACTTTTCCCTGCCCACACTTTTAGCCCTTATTAAAAGCTGAACTGCTTTAGAATAGTACATCTAGCAGACTTGGTTTTGCTAATCCACCCAATTAATCTTTTTTATTTCTTTTTCCTCCTCCCTTCAGCAGAACATATTTCAGCACCAGTCCTGAGTCTGTTCCCTTCTCAACCACTCAATAAAGGCCTGGAAGGTGACAGTCAAGTTTACTCCCTGCCAGGCCAAGTTTGGGAAGTGATGTAGAACTTGAGAAACAAGAGTGGAACCGACAGTGCCCAACCTCAGTCCCAAATGGGCTACCCTAGCACCAGCAGAGATGCTCTGAAGGCTTCTCATCTGGTGCAAGAGATCCATTCAAAGGCAGGACACAGGCACTCCATCCATCTATCTACCCATCCAACAAAAACCTACTAAACTCCTACGCTTTACCTGGCTCAAGAGAGTCAGACTGAAATAGCTTCTGCTCTCACAAAGCTTCCTTTTTCTACCTCTTCTTCCTTTCCATCTATCTTACCAGGTTAAGTTTTCTGTTGAACAACACCGGGATTAATTTGTACATCCATTCACTAGGAATTAGACCTAAATCCCTTGGCCATTCCATTTAAGCCACCAGCTAGGCATTAGCCCAGTAACTGGCCTCACTCCAAATTTAACACACAGGTAGCCTCAGGGAAAGGACTTGGATGCCCATTTTCAGAAATAGCTATCAGAAGGAAATCAGTCATGTCTGACCTCACATCTACTGGAAACTATTAACAGTTGGGGCAATTTTTTTCTTCGTGGGCTCCAGTAGACTTCTGGTTACAAATAGCTTCACTTGTAATAAGATGTGCTGAGCCCAGAGGGAAGATTTCAGGAGGTTTCAGGCCTAGACTGCTTGAATAGGACATTGAGAAAATGACTAACTTACTGTATCCATTCAGTCCATTAAGGGGATAAGAAAATATATGACCAAAATATTGAAAAAGATGGACTAGAATGAAAAGACCCATGAGGTTAAGTGTGAGGAGCTGGAACGCACTTGAATTGAATTCTCAGCTCCATCACTAAATGCCTTTATGAACAATGTTTTAAGCCTCTAAATATGTTCAAACTTCCATTTTAGTTTCTTCTTTTGAAAGAGTAGACATAATAATTGCACAAACATCCCAAAATGATTATAAAGATAAAATGAAATAATTTACATTAAGCATTAGTGCCCAATAAAGATTAAAAAACAAAAATCAAAAACACCTATCACCCATAGTAAAATTTCCTTTATAAGAAATAAGGTCATATAAGTTTTACTCTAATCTTCTTTACTAAGATATTATAAAGATGAGTAGAATAAATAAGAGGAAAAATACTTTGAATTCCTTCAAAACATGTAGTATATGTTTATAAAACATTATCAGTATTACAGAGGCAAATTTATTAGTAGTACATCCAGATGAATGTTGGGGCTCTGGCCACTGGTTTCATTACCCCAATTCATTGGCCTATAAACCACTAGTTCACCTGATGGACAGTTAAGCACAGCATGACAGGGGATGAGAGATGGCAGGGGAAAGAGGGATAGACACCATAAATAGCAACATGACTCTCAATATAACACCACAAGGATTCTCAAGTTCTGTGCTTATGCCTTACTTATACAATAAAACTCTATTTTTCTTTCTCTTTTCTTTCTTCCTTCCTTTCTTTCTTTCTTTCTTTTTCTTTCTTCCTTCCTTCCTTCCTTCTCCTTCCTTCCTTCCTTCCTTCCTTTCTTTCTTTCTTTCTTTCTTTCTTTCTTTCTTTCTCTCTTTTTTTTTTTGTATACTCAAAGCAGCAAAAATCCTAGAAATACCCTTCAACCTTAGGACTTCAACCTTGCACACAAATTACTGTGCAGGACACTAAACTGAGCTCCACACATGGAGACTGAAGCCACGATAAGGAAGGCAGCTGCTAGGGTTGCACTGACGTCTTGTAACAATCTTTGAAAAGAAACCACAAAAGAAAGAAAGGAAACCTTCTGTGTCTGTATAGACTTCATCTCTTCAGAACTAAACCTCATTTCCCAGGGCGATTGTGAGAGGGTGATAATTAGGATTAGCTACAAGGTGGCTATCTGCCCACTCTGTCTCATAATCAGCCTTCAGTTACTCCCATCTATCTCACCATCCCTGTTTTCAGCAGCTGAAAATGAGACAAGAGCCTGAAAAACTAGAGAGCAGACCATCTTAGATTCAGATTTTCACCTTCATGAGGATCAATCACAAATTTTGAATGATCACTGGTGAGAAAGTGACAAGTGATCAATCTCTTTAGCTGATCACTAATGACCTTTCATTAGGTACCGATATTTGGAATGAAAAGCTTCAAAAAGTTATGTATCTCAGTCTACCATCATGGAAAGGGCCATTCTTTTTATAACAGAGAAAAAAAGCTTCTAATGAAGTATCATCAAGTAATAAATGGTTTAGAAAATATTTTTCAATAGATCTCTTAGATTTAGCTCACTATTTCCCTAAAATATGTTAGATATCCCAAGAATCCTATATAATAAAACCTTAATATGCAAATCGACCAAATGGTGAAATGACTGGCTGCTATGACAAGCACTGACCACCAGGGGGCAGATGCTCAATGCAGGAGCTGCCCCCTGGTGGTCAGTGTGCTCCCACAGGGGAGCACTGCTCAGCCAGAAGCTGGGCTCACAGCTGGCGAGCACAGCAGCAGTGGCAGGAGCCTCTCCCACCTCTGAGGCAGCACTAAGGAGCAGTCAGCCTGGCTCATGGCCGGTGGGTGCAGTGGTGGTGGTGGAAGCCTTGCCGACGTAGGCCTGCTCAGCGGCCCTGGGCCAGCAGGCAGACATCCACCAAGGGGTCCCAGACTGTGAGAGGGAGCAGGCCAGGCTGAGGACCCTACCCCCCGCCCCGCCCGAATGCATGAATTTTGTGCACCAGGCCTCTAGTATTTTATGAAAGACATGAATGAAATTTTATAAAATGGTTACATATTAATTTTAACATTATAGATAAAAAGTATAATTGTACATTAAACCCATGATTTCACAACTATTGTTTATTAGGATGAGGGCACAGTAAAATAGGAAGTTGATTCAAAGTAAATAACAGGGCAGGTGCTTTCACATATGGCAGAAACATACAGAAATAGCACAGGAATGACTCAGGCTGAGAAACACTGCTTCTACCCCATAGGCCAGTGATTCCTATCATAACTAAGAAAGAGTTCCCACTCCTGCTTCTGTGGGCTAACAGAATAGCTGAACTCATCCTTTTTGATGCATTATGAGACCTGGACTATGAGCTTTACATATTTCATGAACTGTTGTAGAAGAGCAGACAAGAACGGGGGTGCATTCGATTATGATCATGCTTAGGCAGGAGACAAAAGGATCTGTGGACAATGAAGCACTTTTATGAAAGCAAGTCAACATAAAGATTCAAAAGTTTACCTTTTGTAGAGAGAATGGGGCCAGTTTTTTCAAATCAAAGGTGCTCCTAACAAAATATATACTGCTCCTGGGATTGGGTAATATGTTCTCTTAATCTTTGAATGTCCTAAGTATCCCCATAATAGGTGCTTAACAAATGGAATAAATAACCTCCCATATCTTTATGAAATTAAAAAATGATATCATCAACAAAAGTTAACATCTAGGAGAAAGGAAATTGTACCTTTGGGAATGACACGTACCTTGGGCACAATCTTCACGTGGAACAGTATATTTTGGAAAGAGTATCCATCATTGGCTTGCAAGACTGCAACATCAGATGTGCTATCCAAACCATCGTGAGCATAGTAGAGAAGGCCCCTGGAGACTTCATCCAGCCGGAACTGATAGACAGGGGAGGCAGGGGACTGAAGTGTTTGAAGCAATTGGCCATGAAGTGGAGGATCCAGCACTTCAACTATCACATCCTGTGGATTGTCATCATCTCGGATGTCAAGCAGCTGGGTGGTGATGGTTCCCCTCTCTCCTCTGCTAACGTGGAGATCCTCATTTCTCAGTACATAGGGGGGCTGTGGAATGAAGGAGAAGAAGTGAAAGCATTGAGCAGGAAAAGAGAGGACCACCCAGTGGGCTAGATACCAGTTGTGTGCAACCTAATTGATATTTTGATGCTTTTTACAGAACTCTAGATGTTCTAGCAAAGTGCCAAACTGTTGCATATTCACAGTATTTGTCAAAGGTAGGATTGGTCATAGGAATCACAGCAAATAAGGTTCACATCTCTGATTCTGGAGGCATCTCTAGCCACTTCAGGGCTACAGTATTCATCAGAGGCCACCAAAGAGAACTGCTTGCTTCTAAATCTTTGAAGTCTCTGCTGTCTTGAGTTATACCACATCCCCTTCACTGAAACTGTGATCAGATCAGTGTCAGGCAACCCGGTCAGTTGTCTGCATCCAAGAGATGATAAAAGACATATGGAATTTTTGCATTTGTGTTGGGAGTTGAGCACTTCATTCCAGTCCATGTTGCAGCATGCTGACTTCGAGTAAGATAATTTTGCATTCTGAATTCATGCTATTTCTGGTCCCTCCCAGTAATTTTCTTCAAGCTGTTTCATTCATATCTTCAAGGGACCCAACCCAGCTCAGGTTATAAATCCTGACAAGATCCTGATTTGAGTAACGCAAGCACCTGGTTAATTCAAGTGGCACTGCTCATACAGCAAATTTTAATATGTTTCCTTAGGATTATCAGGTGTGCTCTTACCAACTTGAGTAAGCAGATAAAATGTTCCTTCACAAAGATAAAAGTTAATGAACCGTAATAGAAAAAAATCCCTGAAAAAAAATATATATCAAGGCCAGAAGCCAAAAAAAACATTCTCTCAATTTTGTATATCCTCTGAAGTTGAACCATCTAGGACTTTTCTCGGCACATTGCCTTTTTTAATCCAAATGGCTTTCTTTTAAAACTAGCCCTCTTGACCTCCTGGGAATTTCAATATCTATTAGAGTAATGTCTAATGAATGCATGATTATAATAATCACATAATGGGAAACTAGAAAATAGCTACTGAGAATTCCCAAGTGAAAACTCAAAGCTGTGATTCTATACATGGGAATGAAAGGCCTCTTAGATTCTAAAGAGAGAAGTCAAAGGTGATATCAAAATCCATAAATGGAAAAGATTGACTTAACTTACATGAGAAAAGGCCATGGAGCCTCAAGACCATGTTCAAATATCACAGAAATGTTAAGGAACAAAAATAAGTTAAAATTCATTTCTAAAATCACATTTTTGAAAAGTTAAAATGATAAAAGTTTCTCATAAATAAAATAAAAATGTGCCCTCACTATCTACTCACTTGATTTCAGGAAAACAACAAATATCAGGGAACCATCAGAACAAACCATCTCGGTGAGAAAGCCACTTGCTTATACCTACACTAGGCCTTTTATTCACATGCTTAGCGTAACTATATCACACAAACAAAAAGAACAAAACAAAACTTCTGAGCTTAAGTACTGAAAAACATCTAAGCCAATAAGTCCTAGGGCTTGATTTCCCCTCTGGCCCATTTTACAGAGATCACATTTTAGCTACAATTAAAACAAAATTCATACTCTTAGCTTAACTCTGAGATCAAATTAATTTAGGACCAATTTCTAATCATTCCTTAATTTCAGTCCATCCCTGAAGTGAGAATGCCATCAAGAAGAGCTGAGCTGGGCTGCTCATATCATTTGGCAGCCACTTCTGGTTCAAAGTCTATGGTCCTTTCATTTTTGGACCAAAGATATAAAAATATCAGTTTAAAAACAATGATCTCATGTCCTTCCTTGAATCATGTCTAATACACTCCTGAGATCTGGATATTTAGGTAGCCTTGGCTCCTCATGATGTCCTTTCTCTTGCCATTCACAACTTAAGAGTATATCTATCTTCCTACTCTCTTTGCACATTTCAGCTGTTCAAATCCTCAAGCCCAATTACTCAGAGTTTCTACCACTATATGTATTCTGCACACATAAGTACAACTTGACAGAGATGAGTGATGAGAAGAACCATCACACTGAGTTTTAAAACGGCTACCATGATTTCCTCAGACCAGTGGTTGGCTGATGACCACAGTGGCACAACATTTAAGAATATCCTTAATAAGATCATCTAACTTCTGCCAACTAAGATAAATGCAGTCTGGCTGCATAGTAGATAAGGCAAAAGTAGCCAACATAATCCCATACCTATGAGAGAGAAACATTTACAAAACTAACTCAAAAAGAGAGATGAATAAGGAAAGTCTGAAGAACTAGAACCATCTCAAATTATTCTGATGGGCTAGTTTCTGATTCAGTATAGCAAAAGATGGCACCATAATGCAATGATCAAGAACATAGAATCTGCATTCAGAGTTAATGAGCATAGATCTTGGCTCTCTATTGATCACCATAGACAAGTTACTTAAGCTCCTTGTGACTTAGAGTTCTCACTTGTAAATTGGGGATAATAATACCTCATGGGGATGGCATGAGGATTAAATGAGAAACACTACAAAGAGTATTACAGATGGTTATACTCTTTAGCAGTAATGGTTGCTGCTATTGTTATTGCCTAGAAGCATTAAAAAGTTATTTCAGGCCCTAACCGGTTTGGCTCAATGGATAGAGCGTCAGCCTGTGGACTGAGGGGTTTCAGGTTCAATTCCGGCCAAGGGCATGTACCTTGGTTGTGGGCACATCCCCAGTAGAAGGTGTGCAAGAGGCAGCTGATCGATGTTTTTCTCCCATCGATGTTTCTAACTCTCTATCTCTCTCCCTTCCTCTCTGTAAAAAATCAATAAAATATATTTTAAAAAAATAAAAAATATATATTTAAAAAAATTATTTCAGGAGAAAACTGAGACAAGATTAATTCAGCTCATTCATTTATCTACAACTACAAGAAATCTTTATTGGTGCTTGAGAATTAGTAGACACATAAAATTATTAATAGTGTGGCATTTTTATTACCTGTGTTGAAAATGCTTGTATATTGATCACCTGTGGCTCAGAGAAGAACTGCTGGTCACTAATTTTCAGGGAAAAGTAACCTTTCCTAAAAGAAATTCCAAAGAAGAAATGAGAAAATGCAACCATTAAATCAGTCATTAGAATGACAATGATTAAAAACATTTCCAGGCTATATGCATGGATGAATTTGGATCAAACCACTACAGTAATATAACATTCATACTATAAATAAAAATGACCAGATAAATATGAACCTAGTGAAATGCAGACAAAACTATTGTGTGTTCTTAGATCTCATTGTAATAATTACATAATTTTTTTCCTATTTTTCTAAATTGATTCTATAAAAGGTTGAAAATCAGTTTTGGGGCGAAGAAAGGTTAGTGATATATTGTAGGCTAATGGTAAATAAAACTAAAGAATGAAAAAGGAATCTTTCAAAATCTTTGAGTAGATCTCAGTGAGTCCCTAGTCCCTGCAAACCCTCTTGCCACGTCCTACCCAATTCATATGAGTGGGTCCCAAATCACAATATTTGCAATGCTTTCATTACATAACTCTAGCCACCTCCCTGTCCAGCCACACACATGCAACATTTAACGTAGACTTGACTAGGGAAGAATGTCTGATTATTGACTATTGGGAAACCATAGTGTGGATAAGGATGTGGAGGAAGCCGGTTTGTAGGAGAGAGGTCAATGAAGCCTATGAGTCAAGACACAGAGACAAGAGAAAGGACCGAGTCCTGCTTCCTGGTCCTGGTTCTAGCTTCCAGGCTGGCCCTGAGGCCCATTGCCCTTAATGTGTTTGAGATCTAGGCCACACCTGCAATGTTACAACACACCTTACTATTTCCTTAATCTAGTTCAAGTTGACTTCCTTTCTTATAACCAAAGAATCCTAATTAAGAAAACAAAATAAGGCTCACTCTTTGTTGTGGTTTGTACTTCTCATAAAGAGTGTTGTTTCAACAGCTTCAGAGACTACTAGAAGGAAAGGTAGGAGTTGCCCGCTTCAAGCCAAACCAAGCACAGAACTCACTGTGGCCTGATAAGACATAATTAATGTATATGAGAGGGTTTGAATTCTGGTCTATGGTGGGACCACTGTTTTCAAAGTTCTTTAAAAGGTATTCTTGGAATTAACTACCAACACATGGAAGAATGTGGATGGATCTCAAAAGCATTACGGCAAAAGCCAGAAACAAAAGATTACATACTTGCTGATTCCATTCACATGACATTTCAGAAAGGGCAAAACTACAAGGGTGAAAACAGATCAGTGTTTACCAGGAACTGGGGAAGGTAGTGACTGTAAATGGAGTTTTGGGGGTTTTATGCCTTGAATGTGGTTGTGTTCTCAAGACTGAAAGACAGTATACATTTGTTAACACTCATAGAACAGTAATTTAAAATAGGAAATTTTATTAAATGCAAACTGTACCTCAGAAAACTTAATTTTAAAAAAGTGTGCTGTATTCCCTCCAATTTTATTTTTCCCTTCATTTTCTGCCCCATTTAAATCCCGCTCCTCTCCATCCCCACTTGCAGCTTTCAAGAGAATTCAAATGATGGGCTAGTTACTCCCAACCTACTGGGGAAAATGATTTTTTGTTGGCAGTGAGCTTCCAATAACTGTGCTCAACATCTCAGCAATGGAGCTTATCTCGTCTCCTATGACTATATTTACAATCTGTCTTGTACTCCACAGGAGCATTCCAACCCTAGAGGAATGCAATCCTAAAGCATTCCAGTCCTAAAGAATCAGGGTCAGTGTTTGACAGAGAAAACAAAACCACAAACCTGTGTGGCAGGCTGTGTCTTCTGTTTTTGTATCATGCGGAGACGCACCATTTCCCTTTTTCATGAGTTTCTGCCTAGCCTGTTTCTTTTACTATTACTCTCATTCCTTCTTTTGTTTAAATTTTTAGATAAAGAAAATCCAATGTTAAATGTGTTCCCCAAAAAGGTGCTAAAAATTCCCTAAAGATAGTTGCCATTCTTTGTCCTGTTTATGGGTACAAAGCTGGTTCTGTGAGGAAATAGAGGATGAGATTAAAAAGGTAAGCTTAGAGAAACAAGAGGTTTTTCACTTTGGTTGTCTTTGAAGCTTTAAGTACTTTATACACATTTCACAAGTGATTCCAAGACAAACAACTACAGGTGTGTGTGTGTGTGTGTGTGTGTGTGTGTGTGTGTGTGTGTGTGTGTGTGTGAGATATGCAAACATTTAACTATACTTGCAGCAAAAGGAACGCAGGAGATGGAGCACGAGTTTGACAGGTGATTCTATAGCATCAAGTACTAGAGTTTTAAGCACCGTTTATAGCAACACTTCTGCATGCCCGCGGAGATGGAAGCATGCCCATTATTCCTACTATTATTAAGACAGAAATCATAGTGGCTAAAGACATGGGCTGTGGAATCAGAAAGCCCTGGGTTGGAGTCTGAGCTGTGCATCATAGGATGCAAGGCCTTGGGTAAGATTACTTTACATTCCGAAGGCCTGGAGACTGGGAATACAAATATACAGAATTTACATAAAGTAGTTAACACAGTGCCTAGCTAATAGCTAGTGTTCAGTGAATGTCACTTGCTCTTACTTCTGCAAGGGTTTCTTTGCTCACCGGCTCTCAACTGCAAATGGAGAAAGGGCCATTTACTTTTCTCTCCACCTATGTCCTAGCCCAAACCTTAAACAAAATCTCGTTTAGTGGTGACAGTAGAAAATATTCACTGTTTCCTTATCACTGTTCCCTGGGTATCAACTCCTTGTTTACAAATAAACCAGTCTGAATTTCCTGCACTAACGAAGCAGAGCAGGGTGAAGGATAATCCAAGAGGCTAATCTTTGGGATGCATTCTCTGATTTCTGCTTAGTGGAATTACTCTGCTAATTACACGGCTATATTTGCTTGGGTTAGTGTTAACATTCAATTGCATTCCTGAAGCATATGTCAGCTGGGGCGGGAAGACAGCCAGAAGTATGCTAGACATCAGAGGAAAACTGGATCAGGCTTAAATATTAACCACAATTAATCCCATGAAGTGGATAATAGAAAGTAAACTGTGACTCTTTGTTTCCTTCCAACTCTGAAATTCTAAGACCCATACAACACCTTGAAAAGTGTGCACTCTATCCTCCAGCCACTCCCTCCTCCCAGTATATTACACTAATGTTGAAGAAGCAGCTGGAGCATCTGGGTGTATAACCAGTTTTGTTTCTACTGGGCCAGAAAGCTGGGTAATTGTACCAGGATCTTTCCTGTCACATCAGAGAATTACCCATAATTATGTGATAAAATGAAAATGCCTCTAACAGAAGCACACTCTCTGAGCAATTACAGTGAAATGATGACAGGCAGCTGAAAGCATTTGGCATTTGTGGAGGATGGATCTTTCTCAGAGGAGAAGGGGATAACTGTGGAGAAAAGGGGAGTTTGGGGGGGATGAGGGAGGTGCAAAACACTGGTGGAAAGGAGGCAGGAAGAAAACAATGGAACACGGAGTCACCTGGGCTTTTCTTTGCTGTGCACAAAGCGCACTTTTTTCTCATTCACATCTTTCCAGCTAAAATGGCCAGCCTTGTCGAGTTGCACCTCTTTCCCATTCCTCGAGAGCACTAGCTGCCCATTGGTGGGTGTGCTCACAACATGGAACAGGAGGTCTTCGACCCTGCCATCCTTGTCTTGGACGTTCAGGAGGGAAAAATCCAGTGGCTTCATTAAACCAATGGCCAGGGTGAGAGAACCATTCACATGAAGACCAGGAGTGTGTGTTCTGCCTGGAAAACATCGATTCAAAGGTCAGGCTTGGTAATTCACAAGTGAGGAGTGTATGTGTATTTAAAGAAATAGGCTTGCAATGTTCATTCAGAGAGCTACAAAGATGAGGCTCTAGGCTACTGTCCACCATAAGCTTCCTTCTAATCCAGTGGTTCTCACTGTGGATGCACAGGGAAAGAACACAGGCTCTTTTACAGGGGTAGGGAATGTCCAGCCGAGGACCAAGTAAGAAATCATTTGGTCTGGCCCTGCCTAGGCATTAGGGGTGAGTTAATTAAATGTTTGACCAAATATCGCAGGCTAATTTTTAAGTTGATAATTTTGTGTGGCCCACAAATGATGATATAAATATCCAAATGGCCCTTGGCAGAAAACAGGTTACCCACCCCTATATTAAACTATAAAACTTCTAGAAGAAAATAAGGAGTAAATATTTGTGAACTTGAATTAGGCAATGCTTTCTTAGCTATAACACAGAAAGCCCATGTGACAAAAGGAAAAAAAATAGATATATTAGACATCATTAAAACTAAAAAAAAAAAAAATGTTTTGCTTCACCAGGAAACCAGCAAGAAAGTGAAAAGACAGCCCACAGAATGAGATAAAATATTTATAAGTCAGATATCCCTGAAACTGGACTTGAATCCAGAATATATAAAGGACTCTTCCAATGCAGTAAAGACAACCCAATTTTAAAATAAGCAAAGAATTTGAATAAGCATTTCCCCAAAGAAGGTATAAAAAGGCCAATAAGCACAACAAAAAGGTGCTCAACATCATTAACAATCAGGAAAATGCGAATTAAAACCACAAAATGATGCCACTTCACACCCACTAGGAACGATGGTAAAACCTGTTCCTGAGGATGTGGAGAAATTAGAACCCTCATATATTGCTGGTAGGAATGTAAAGCAGTGTAGCTACTTGTAGTTCCTCAGATAATTAAATATAGAGCTACTAGCATATGACCCACCAATTTTGTTCCTGGACATATCCTCAAGAGAATTAAAAACATATATCCATACAAAAACTTCTACACAAATGTTCATAGCAGCATTATTCATAATAGGTAAAAAGTGGAAACAAGCCAAATGTTCAACTGATGAAGGAATAAAAAGGTGGTATATCCACACAATGGAATATTATTCAAGCATAAAAAAAGAAATGACATACTGATACATGTTACAAATGGAGAAACTTTGAAAACGTTATGCCAAGTGGAAGAATCCAGACATTAAAGGCCACATATTGTATGACTCCATTTATGTGAAATGTCCAAAATAGGCAAATTAGTACAGACAGAAAGTAGATCAGTGGTAGCCAGCGCCTGTGGTGAGGGAGTGATGCGGAAAGACTCCTAATTAGGGTAAGTAAAGTGTCTTGGAATTAGATAGTGGTGATGGATGCATAACTTTGTGAATATATTAAAAATATACAAAATATCGCTGCATTGTATACTTTAAAGGGTGAATTTTATGGTATGGGAATTATATTCAATAATAATAGCAGTAAAGAATCACATAGGGATCTTTAAAACAATACTGATACTTGAGCTCCACCACCAGAGATCTTGACTTACAAGATCTGGGGTGGGCCCTTCATGATTTTACAAACTCCCAGGCAATCAATCCCAATAGGCTCCAGGGTTGAGAACCACAATCCTAAGACATCTGTCCTATCTGGCCATCAGACCCACCAAGGGCAAGAAAAGAGGTAAGTGTTTAATACCAATGCTAGAACAGTACCAGTTAATCTCCATTGAAGTAGGATTATCAATGGCTTATATTCAGAATTCATGTGAAATATACACACTTTGTTTAAAAGTTTTACAATCTTTGTCCACAGGAAACATCTGATGGATGAATTAGGATTTCTGACCATTCTGTCTCCTGCAAGTTGGTTTGCCTGGACTTGAAGGTAGGCTAGACAGGACAGTTAGTGATGCCAACTTTCAGGGGGACTTATTCTATTGTAAGATTACTAACGAAGGTGAGAGTAATTCACATTCGCACATTGACTTGTATTACATCCTAAGAGGAACAAGCTAACTCTCAAGTTCTTGTTGTTTTTAGAAAGATCCCAATAAAATAAGCCAAAGTTACTTTTTCTCATGTGAAGTTTTAATATCTTTAGAGGTCAGAAATACAGAGATGGAAAATATGACTGACTGCATGCATTAAAGTATGCCTCCTGTTATTGATAAAGGATACGCAAAGCCAAGGAATGCTCAGCTATAACAGAACTCCCAAGTTTTATTCCCCTCTAAAACTTTTGAGGTTGAAAATTAAGACAATTTAAATTTGCTTCTCTTTGTTATGTAAAGTGTTCATTGATATTTTGGACAAGACTAGCTCCACCCTTTTAACTTGTTACCTCATCCTTTTTTTTTAAATATATTTTTATTGATTTCAGAGAGGAAGGGAGAGGGAGAGAGAGATAGAAACATCAATGATGAGAGCGAATCATTGATTGGCCGCCTCCTGCATACCCCACACTGGGGATTGACCCCTAACCCGGGCATGTGCCCTTAACCAGAAATGAACCTGGGACCCCTCAGTCCATAGGCCGATGCTCTATCCACTGAGCCAAACCAGCTAGGGCTGTTACCTCATTCTTAATGGCAAACAATATGGCTTGAAATCTATTTGCTTCAAATGTATGAACCTAATGGGGCAAGCTCCTCACACTATTCATTATTTATTTGTAAGTTATCTCTAGCATGTGCACAAAGGATGCACCATTGCATCCTGGAATTATCAGCTCTACAAGTTTATATAAATATAAATAAATTATATCTATACAAGTATATATGTAATTTTCTGCAACATAGTTGTAATTCAGGAACATAAGTAAGTTTTATGCCAAATTTCTGATCTGACAGTTGACTTTTATTTATTTATTTATCCTCACCCAAGGATATTTTTCCATTGATTTTTAGAGAGAGTGGAAGGGAGAGAGAGAAACATGAATGTGAGAGACACGACGACTGGTTGCCTACCACACACGCCCCAATGGGGGCTGAGGATTGAACCTGCAACTAAAGTACATGCCCTGGACCAGGAATCAAACCCAGGATCTTGGTCTGCAGGGCAATGCTCTAGCCACCAAGCAACTGGCAAGGGCACAGTTAACTTTTTAAAAAGATTGCTCCTTTTTCTTCTCTAAAAAGTTTAGAAGTTGAGTTTTCCCAAACTTTCACATTCTATAAAGATTTCCTTATTCCTAGCGGCACCGGTGTTTTCCCCAGGAATGGGAATCCTGCATTTTATACCACATGAGTCCACTGCATATGCAAACACAGCCTCTGCATGTAGAAACTGCAGGTGAACTCATCAGCCACCAGTGGAGAAGTACTTACCAGCACATGTTTCGTTAGATGAGTGGGCAGAGAAGCCAGGAACACAGTTGGAAACGCAAAGGCCACTTTTCAGAGAGAACCCATGGTCACAGCGGTGACATCGGTTTCTGTGGCTGCACTGCAAGCACCTCCGAGGGCAGGCTATTGAAGAGAGGACACACTAAATGATGCACAACAAGGCACGGGCACCCAGCCAGGGCCACCGTGGTAAAGCAAAGAAGAGTGAGAGTACAAGCACACATGGCCACCAACTGCAGCAAAAGAGAATTCCAGCAGTCTCTTACAGAATTTCACAGAGGGCTGGTCAACCCTCGGAAGGGAAGTGATAGGGAGGAGCACTCTTGCCTTATACACTGTGATCTGAAAATGTTTCACATAAATGAATTGTTTAGAAAGTTAACCATATTGACTTGTAAGAGAGGCAGTTTATAGTGATTAAGAGCATAGGCCCTTTCTGGGTACTGTTCCTCTGCTACCACTTACCAGCTGCCAAACATGGGTAAGTTCTTCTAACAATCTGTGGTGCAAGTTTCTTTTTTTAAAAAATAGGGAAACTGATAGCACCTAATACAAATGATTGTTGGGAGGAATACATGTGCTATGTATGTCGTGAGTAGAACAGTGCCTGGCACACAAAAGGGCTCAATCGCACTACAACTATCACTGCTACTCTCCTATTTTTTTAATTATTATTATTTTAAATGCAATAGGTGATCAAGCTATTTAAAGGAACATAGATGATTTCTTTGGGTCAAGTTAGTAATCTAGAATTATTTTTCTGCTTCAGTAAATAAGATTTTGGTAGAGAAATGCAGCACAGTACAGTTTAAAAGGCACTGGATTAGAACAAAACAACTTGGGTTTAATATTTTATTTTATGTTGCCCTATTTAATACTCTTAGCCTCTCTCCTATTTCTGTGTGTGTGTGTGTGTGTGTGTGTGTGTGTTGTTATTTTTTTTTTCACTTGCAAAACAGGATTCATAGTGCCTGCCATATTTTACCAGGCCATTGTAAATATCAAATGATACAATGCTGATGAAGGAAATCTGGTGAAGTATAAAATGCTAAGCCTGGGCAATGGCATTACTATTAAATGTCAGGTGTTCATTAAAGTGGGACAAACAGTACTAAGTTTTGACAGAAATGATGAGAACACACTAAGGAAACTCTCCTCAGTAACTCAATAGACAAGGTAATTTAGACTTTGGGCTTAACTTCAGTTTCATAATAAAAGATTAATGTGTCTCACTAAAGTATCTCCAGAAATTCTACTCTTTAAGGACATTATGGCAAATATCAGGATCACTGGTTATTTAGTCTACACACTGAAAATTCTATGCTCACATCTACTGGGCTGATCCACTCTTAATGGGTATACGTAAGCTTTACATTCCATAAAATATTGGCCTCATTTCCATAAAGACAATTAAGGACAATATTGATTTGTGCAAGGGAATTATTGGCCTGCTCTTTTATATTCCATTTAACCAGCAATTGGCGGAGTGCATGGGAAGTCATCAATTGCTTAGGCCAAGCTCCCTGGGTTTTCATGCTACTTCTGATTCCAATTCTCCTTGGTTACCTGAGGATCAGCACACCTGAATAGCTTGCTCCTTTACGTTTTTCCAGAGAATTCATCCTGGTTTCCAAGTTACCTGCACATTTGCGACTGGCATGTTCTGCAAAGTACCCTTTCCCGCATTCCTGGACACACTGGGCTCCCAAGAGGAGAAATGGTTCCTCACAGCGGGTACACTCCTGGGGACCTTGGCACTGGAGACAGTGGCTGTCACAGCCTGAAAGACAAGTCAAGTTGACAGGAATGTGTATGGCTTTCCCAGGGGCTCCTGATCCTGACAGCGAGGCAGTGTTAGACAGCAATGAGCGATATAACCTTGTGGCTGGGCAAAGCTGCAGACAGGAGCAAGGAGTCGGGCTCCTGGTTGAGACTATCATACTTACCAGGTGGAGGACAGAACTAGTTACTCCACTTCTCTGAGCCTCAGTGGTCTCTCCTACAAAATGGGGGTGGACGTACTATCCCCCTAGCTCCCTGGGTGAAGATCAAATTAAATAATGGAAAATACTAGGCAAGCTAGAAATGAACAGGTATTAGCCATTATTGTTATCAACTAGTCCTTGGCTCTCTGTACCATTTTTGCTGAAATGTCAATCTTTTTCCTGACTCACCCAGTCAGTTATCAGAGTCTCTCAACAATGCTCCCAAGAATGTTTTCTGGGCACTTTGGGTGGGCATTTCAAGATCTGAAGATTTCGTGGTGTTAAATTGAGGCTGAAGGGGGTCCTGGACCAGAGAAAGATGATGGTGAGATATAAGCTGTATGGAGGGCTGTGGGAAACAGATGGTGAATAATGAGGTCTGTCCACGTACTCAAGGGACCAGAGGACACAGACCTTTCCATCTGGAGTGCAGGCCTGTTCAATTTTTAAGGAAACCCAAAAGTAATGGCTCAAACATACCTGTTTCCATGGCCATACACTCCCATTATTTCCATAGTGCCCTCAAATTTTAGGAAATGTATTTGGGCACGAGAGAAAGGAAAAAGACATTTTCATTATACCAAAGAAAAGTTCTGAGAAAAGAAACCAGAAATTAGACACAAAGCCAGGATGGGAACCAGCCACAGGCTCCTTCTCAGAACAGCACAACGAGAAGAGGCTGAAGCTTGGATGAGCACAGAGCAGGGGCTCCAGACACTTACCCTTGCAGAGGCCTGAGTCCCGGTAGAATGATGGTGCGCACTGCTCCACGCAGGTGCCGTCCTGGAGAACGTAGCCTTCAATGCACTGCAGGCAGTCTGTCCTCAGAGGCCCGCTGCACGCATTGCAACTCCAATCACACTCTAGAAAGAAAGGCCTCATTAGATCAGCTTCCTTTCTGTCCAGCACCTAATTTATGAGGATGCTGCCTGCAGCTGCAAGGGGGAAAGTAAGTCCCACGTAAGAGATGTCAGACAAGTGAGCTCTAGTGACTCTACTGATAGTAGCTGGGACACTTCTCTGAGGTTTAGTGTTTCCTAATGATGTTAGACATGAGCGCGTACATGTATCGCTCCTGCTCCTGAGCCTGTTTGTCAGTGGGGCTGCTGAGGAGCCAAGTCAACTCGATCCTATTCCACAAGCCACCAGTTCTTTATCCCTGAGTCACACATCTTCATGCAAAGCCTGCTGTAGGGAGTGGCCAATTTGTGGACCCCCCTCCAAATGCTTGAGAGAGAAAGGATATCAGAGAGTCAACTAAGAATGCATCTTCTATCTCCATGACCAGCCCACACTCTCTACTTCTCAAAAATCAGGTGCTGACCAACAGGATGGAAAGAACCAACAATGATAGAGTGAGAGAGGGCATGAAGGACCTGTCCAGAATAAAGGGCTTACTGAAGGAACAGACAATCTCATGTAGAGCAGAACCGATTCATTTTCAGGTTCATCCACTCAGCCAGCACCTGCAGGATACTCAGCATTGGGTGAGGGTGTAAAGTGAGAGGTGTAGACCCTGTCCTCAAGGACCTTATGTTCTAGTGGGTCCCAGCCCTAGATGTGGCCCAAATAATCCAGTGGGGTTGTTAGAAACACAGGTGGCCCAGTCGGCATGGCTCAGTGGTTGAGTGAGCGTCGATCTATGAACCAGGAGGTCACGGTTTGATTCCTGGTCAGGACACAGGCCCAGATTGTGGGCTCCATCCCCAGTAGAGGGTGTGCAGGAGGCAGCGGATCAATGCTTCTCTCATCATTGATGTTTCTATCTCTCCCTCTCCCTTCCTCTCTGAAGTCAATAAAAACATATTTAAAGAAATGAAAGAAACCTAGGTGATCAGGCTCGACATCAGAACTACAGTCAATCTCAGAGATTGAGGCAAGAAGAACATGTTGCTGCTGCTATTGCTTTGTTATTGTGATTACTATAGCTGTCGTTGCTGAGGCAGTTCGGATACAGTCAGGAAACTCATGTTTGAAAACAAAGTGCTTGCTAATAAGGTATGCTTCATGCGTGGGAGATGGGGCAGCAGCATGGTTAAGGGCTTAGTTTTGAAGTCGGGTAAGTCTTTATGCAAGTTGTGGCTTTGCTGCTTTTTATCTGCATATCTCACATGCCTCCCTTAAACGTTTTAAGCCTCAGTTTCCTTGTCTGTAAAACAGAAATAAGAATCATACCTATTGATACTTTAATTATAACCAGTGTCTACAGTAGAATTAGAATGGATTGTAGCCCTCAGATGGGGATTTAGTAGTATGCAAAATCTCTGCATGGGAAGATTTGTGGGGTATAAATACATGGTTTGTTGTGGGTAAGGTGCTCAGATACTCAAAACAATATTTATGAAAAAGGAACTATTAACGGTGCAAAAAACAGTTTCTTTGTGTGTGTTTTTTTTTGTGTGAGTGTGTGTTTGCATTTTTATCATCTATCTCATCCAGGGTATGGAAAAATAGTTGGTTTAATTTAAACAGCTAACTTTGTCAGGGAACTGGTGCTAGAGATACTTTGGAATTCTAGAAATATTTGAGCAGAATTAAAATATAGCATGGGTGAATTAGACTTGAGCCACAATAAATAATTAGGGACACGATGTTCTCTAAATATGGAAATCCTCATCCTTGAAGAGTAGTTATAGACTCGAAATGTCTGATACTTCTTCTCTACAATTGATCTATTCTAACTTCAACAGAATATTTGAGCATTTTTGGAGCTTAAGCCAAATCAGTGTAACAGAATAATATTGTCTGCATTTTGAAATAAATTTCAATATATTTTAACTGGAAAAAAAAAAGAATCGTACCTATTGCATCAGGCTACTGTGAAGACTGAAATAATGAATGTAAAGAACCCAGCATAGTGCTGACATATGGTAGCAGCTTCCTCAAGGTTTGCTGCTGAACTGTTTATCTTGGAGAAATATCTCCACTCAGTGCTGCCTCAGCCCACCTCCCCTCCCTGAGAAGAAGCTGGGAAAACCGCTCATTAGTCACTTTCCCTCTTCCTTGATGCAATATTTCTAAGTCCCAAGGAAGCAGGTAAACGTGCAAGACAGTACATGTGCTTCCAAGAAGATTTATAAAGTTAATCTCACTCATTTATTTGGCTGAATCAGTCCTGAGGGAAAATGACTAACACAGAGCCCTAAAAACTGCCAGCACAGTTACAAAATCATTTACAACAGGGAGGATTTGTGATGATCTTGTTTTTCACCGCAAACTAACCACCACTGGTTAGGGGGGAAGAAACAGAAAAGCTTCTTTGGTCTCAAGCACAGCAGACCACCTAAGTTGACAACCAAGGAGAATTCCCTGGAATGGATAGTGTGCAACGGTGCAAAGGCTTCAAGCATCCCAAGTTTACCGGACAGACGTTTGACCTCCGTATCTGAGCCCTAGCTTCCCTGGCAGAACTGGAGATACAGAGGGGAGTGTGGAATAGAGGAATGGAGGAGGGAAAGAACAAGAGCAAGGAAAATCACCCTGAACTCTGCTTTTCCTCTGGCTGAGCACTGCCCTTCAAAGAGCAAATCCCCTAGAATTCCAACCACTGGAGAACAGAGAAAAAGGCAATTGGTTTTTGACATTATCAACTCCTTGAGGACAGGGACTGTGTCTTCACTCATTTCAGTATGTTAAGCAGAGATGAACAAATCAGATACAACTCCTGTCCGCATTAAGCACAGAGTCTAGCATTCTAGAGTTGTAAATGCAAGTGCCTGTGGGGCCCAGGAAGGTAGTGTAAATCTTTTAAATAGGCCTGTGTGATGGAATAGGGAACAGTGAGGACGGTGGTGACCTTCGGAGATCATGCTCTATCCAACAGAGACGACAGCTACTCATGCCAACCTCCTGTCACATTCTGGGAATGCAAATCCAGTTTTGCCAGATATTCTGACTTAGAAGAATCTCAGTTTTTGTATGGTATGTTTTCTGATTTTTAAAAGGCAAATATTAAACATTTTGAAACACTGGAAGATTTGGTGGGCCAAATACAACCAGAGGGTTTTCACTTTGCAACCCCTGGTCTCATTACTATTAACTTACACAATGGCTGGTACATAGTAGGTGCTCAAAAATATTTGTTTAACCTAATACATATTTTTCATCTCCCTGCTTGAACCTTTAATACATAAATTAATGAGTGAAGACATGAATACATGCATACATAATGACTTCTTGCTATCATCAGAGAAAGTCTAAATGCCTGATGACAGTATTTTCCCAAGGTGGGGGGTGAACATATTTGTAAAGGGGCATCACTGCTAAAAGAACTGTACAATTCAGGACGAGCTTCACCTTTGCATGTCTTGGTGGAGAAGTCAAGATAGTGCTGTGGGGCACAGTTCTCATTCTGACAATCCCCAAAGAGCAGGACCTTGCTTGGATCTCGGCAGGAGGTACAGCTGGCCTGTGAATCACAGCTTCCACAGTGCGGGTTGCATGCTGAGCAGATAGGAAAAGAAAATGACCAGATGATTACAATTGCAAATACTGACATACTGATCAAACCTAGACAGATGCTGCAAAGAAACAAAGCCCAGCTCCAACCTGTTCCTTAATTATGGCTCATAGCCCTCCCCTGTGATCAACAGAAACAGAGAATGTTAGTCTTATTTTCCAATATTAAAAAAAGATAATCTTGCCGAAACCGGTTTGGCTCAGTGGATAGAGCGTCAGCCTGCGGACTGAAAGGTCCCAGGTTCCATTCCGGTCAAGGGCATGTACCTGGGTTGCAGGCACATCCCCAGTGGGAGATGTACAGGAGGCAGCTGATCGATGTTTCTCTCTCATAGATATTTCTAACTCTCTATCTCTCTCCCTTCCTCTCTGTAAAAAATCAATAAAATATATTAAAAAAAAGATAATCTTATTTTCCAGAAAAGATAAATGATAAACTCACGAATGGAAATCCCATATTCAAATTGCCTTTGTGATTCAGCAACAGAATTTATACTTAGCCCAAGATCTCTGAAATGATAGATAGTCCAGAGTTTTATCTGAACCTTACTTCTTAAGGAATCAAGACCCCTTAGTTAATTATATAGATTCAGAGTTTATGTGATGTCAAGATTAAAATTAGGCATCGACTTTAAGATACAATGGACTTAAAGGTGACCTGGCTTACTGATTTGCCCAGTTGTGATTCTTAGCAACCATTTACTTAATTTAGGCATTGAGGGATGATTCCTACTCCCATCTTCCCTAACTGAGCAACTGTCATTTCTCCATCTACTCAACTATTCATGCTAGAAACCTGGGAGTCTATTTTGCCAGCCCCTTTTCCTCACTCCCAATCATTCACTGGATCCTATTTATTGGAACTCTCCTATGTAATTCTCAGAACTTTTTGCTTTTCTCCATATCCACATATGCCACCAATAGATCCAGCCATCATCATCTCCTGTTGGACTGCTACCATAGTCTCCTAATTAGTTTCCCTAAATCTAATCTGACCCCCTTGCAATCTATTTTCCATGTTTCCACCAGAGTATTATTTTCATTCATATTGCTCAAGCTCCAGAGGTCAATTTCATGTATACATTTATATTTTTCCTGAATCCTGAAAAATTAATTTCCAGCTTTCATTTCTATAAATATTGCTCCTCCATCATTCCCTTTATTTGTCCCACCTATACATTTTAACTCACATATTTGAATCCTCTCAATATAATCTCCAAGTCTCTTGTCTTTAACTTGTACTCATTCTCCAGGCTCTTCTTCAAGAAGGCCTTCCCTGATTATCCAGTCTAGACTAGGTCCGCCAGTTACTGTTTCTATAACACTCCATACATTTCTTTCACGCCACATATAACCATTTTCATTTAAGTGGTTATTTAACATCTGTATCCTTTAAGCTAAAAGCTTCATAAAAGTAAAGGCCAGGTTTGCTTTGTTCCTTGCAGGAATCCCAGCACCTAACTGGTTATCTATCATCTTGTAGGTGTTTAGTAAACACTTGTTACATAAATGAAAGAAGCCAGGTATTTTAATTATATACCCTCAAGCACTAGCATCTCTGCCTCATTCTGAAATCTTCTCTAAGTATAGGTCACAGGAAAAGTCTACAGAGTGATCATGGGAGTTTTAAATCTATGGGGTATCAAAGCATGAGGCACACTGCAGGAAAATCACCTCCCTGTGAAATAAAAAGAAAGAAAACCTCTTGTTTTACCTATAAGAAAAAGCAATGATATAACATATTCATTAGAGTATGTAGATCTGTAATGAAAGGTCCCATAAAAATTCTAGATGGGAGTTTCAGATAATGTGGGAATAGTTAGAAAAGAATATTTTAAATGTTGGAAACTTACATGACAGTAAACTTTAATCCTTTTTTTGTTTTAATAGGATTTCTACACATGGCGCATCTTAATTTTGGCAAAGTGTTTGATAATGATCCCAAAGATAAACTTGTGAATACAAAAATAAAGGGGCCTAGTAGTTGTAGGTGGTTTTAAGGAGGTTGAAATGCATACTCAAACGTGATCAGGAAATCTTTGTAACTGGTAAAAGAAATGTCTAGTAGAGTAATATGACCAAGTCATTATTTTTTACTTGATCAATATTTTTATTAATAACTGTTAATTAATGAAAACAATGATGTCATGCTAATGATACTGAAATATGCCATATATACCTATAGAGGAAACACAGTAGTTAAGTTTTACCACCTGAAAGAATAACAACTCAAACCTATTTTGCCAGTTGAAGCAATAAACTAAAAGTAATAAGATAAAATAAACAAAACTATAAGCCCTACATTTATGTTCCATAACAAATGAACACAAATAGCGGATACAAAAGGCCTTAGACAGCAATTCCTATAAAAAAGGATCTGAAAGTTTTAGTTGATTAAAAGCGTATTACAAGTGTGATATGGTTACTAAGGAAATGAATACACTCTTGAGCTGAAGAGCCTACATGTAAACTAAATGTCACCTAGAACCCCCTACTTGATAGGTAGCTGCAAAAAGAGGCCCAAATGCCAGTTCCTCGGACTGGGGTCACAGGTCAGTACACAGCTGAGTTTCCTGTAATACCTCCTCAAGCCTCTGTCTGCCCCCATGCTCTTGAATCCTTCTATGCAGTCTTTCATTTCACCTTGCGACCTCAGTGTAAAATTCAGCCCCTTCACTGACTTCCAAAATAATATAGATTCACAATGAGCATCTTGAAACGTTAAGAGGATTTGGAGGGATGCACTAGTGTCACACTGAGAAGCACAGGCTTCCACTATTCCTGTCTGAACCATTCTTCCTCTCTCATCTATCCCCTCACCCTTCTCCAAGGCAATCTGCAAATGTGCTTGTCTCACTCAGGGCAGTTCTGCACATACCAGAGCCCCTTAGGTCCTCAGCTTCCATCTTCGGAGGGTTGTGGGTAAGGAGCATTTCTCCAACCTATGAGGTATTAGTCCTACTGCAGTCATGTTGGGATGACCACATCTGGAGTAGCAGGTGCAGTTCTCTAAGGTCACTAACTCCATGGATAGTAGACAGTGAAAAAAGAAATGAGTGAACTAGTGATTAATTTACTTGCTCAAGGTAACAAAGCTAATAAGTGGTAGGTAGGATTTGAACTCCTGACTCTTGAGCCAACTCTCCTAACCACTACTCTATAATTGCTCTAACATGGTATTTCCTAGGACATAAAATCGAAATATCAGCACTGTATTTGTTAACTTTCATTTTCAAATGAGGAAGTATAATTTATATATATATAGCAAATGACACTTCAATGATTGAAATAAAGTCAGCCACCTCAGTCCATTTTTAAAAGTGTTCTGTCATCTGTGAAGGATTTCCTAATTTATTCCCTTAGATTTGCCCTTTCCCTAATTTATCCTAACTCTTTGTTTTGCCTGACTCAGTAATTAATCATATTTTGACTTCTTTCAAAAATAAGACATCTATACAATTAATTCTCATTCAAGACAAAATAACTACTGTTTGGGCAGAAACTAAATACTCTGTGCATGTCAAGCCCTCCATATTGTCAATATTCAACAAATACATGCCAAAAACAAATTGAATCCAGCGAAGTGCTGAGGTCACTGGTTGTGTGCTAGAATGATCTCTGCTTAGGACCTTGTAATTCAAATGCTGAAGGAAACAATAAAAGGAAATAGACTAATATTTTTTTATTTTTTAATAAAATAACTACAGAACAGAGAGATTAAATAAATAACTGACCCAAGATCACACATCTGGTACTGGCAGAGGAGAGGCCCAGCCCAGCACTTCGAATTAGGGTGATATCTGATTAAATCTGCTAATGGCATCCATATGCCTTTTTAGATTAATTTTCTTCCTTTTATAAAAATAATGGCTACAGGTAAGAAAACGAAAGCAAAGGAAAAGAGAGAAAACTCATGTTTTAAAACCTACCTTGACAAGAATGGCTGTCATCGAGATAGTGCCCTGGGAAGCAGGTGGTGCTGCAGGTGCCAAGGTGGGACAGAACGAGGCCGGTGTCACATGAGGAGCAGGAGAAGGGTCCTCGGCCCTGGCAGGTTCTACAGGAGGAGTGACATTCTGCAGGGACACAAAGAGAACCTATGAAGCCAAACTCCTTTCCAAAGTAGTATCCCAAGAACTGTTCATAAAAGCCCAATGCTGGGGTGGGTGTGGGAAGGAGGGGGTCAATGGGGGGAAAAGGGAGACATCTGTAATACTGTCAACAATAAGGATAAATTTTTTAAAAAGCCCCAATGCTGAGAGCATTAGCTGGTCTGATTTATTATCACAGTGTGCACCCTCTGCTCCCCTCCCTACCCCTGCGCTCCCCACCCGTCCCCCGCCCTCCCCCCCTCTTTTCTCTCTCTCCCACCCCTC